GAAATTACTAGAAAATAAAAAAATGGCAGTTAGCGGTGCGGCGGCAGGGCCAAGGACTGAGCTATGGGTTGAAAAATGAAAGAAGAGATGATAATCGAAGTAGGGATGACAAGCCTTCTCTAAAAATATGGATTTAGAGGAAAAGAAGTAAACTTGAGGGAGTAATTTTTTTCGTATTTATAGTGCGTAGTGATGTGTACAGAATTTGTGTACAAAGAGCAATTTTGTTCTATGAATGACCAAAATTAAATATATAATTAACACATGGCATACTGAATGTCATGTGTTAATTAAAAACTAGAGACAATTTATGCATTTTGAAGGACAAAGGAAAGGGTAGAATAGGAAAACTTTAAACTTCTATTGTTGCAATTATCCTTTTATTTAGTCCTATTTAGGTAAATTTCCCTTTTTTGATAAAGAATAAAAATAAATTGAGTTGTAATTTAATTTTAATATAAAAACAAGCTAAATTGTAATTACGTTTTTAGTACTTTGATTGAGAAGGAAAAATGAATTGAAGGACAGGACAAAAAGCTAAGAAAAAAGAAAAATGATGCACTACAGTGACGAAAAAGAGAGAGTGAAATACGTAAAAGTAAGATCGGTACATCTTGTGCTTGAGCCTGGACCATTTTTTAGGGAATTCAATAGGTTATCCAGAACAGGCCCTCCGATTTATGGGGCCCCAAATTTTAAAAATCTATTAGTACGGAGTAGTATATAATAATATTATACTATGTGTATTAATAGTAATCAGTAAAATATACTACCTCCGTCCCCTATGTTTGGGAAAAAGGGGTGTGGTGAGAGTTTCAAGAAATAGTAGAAATGTATGGTTGATATTAAATTGATAAAGTGTGATTAAAGTATGAATGAATTGTAGCCACCCAAATATTACCAAATATGGTATGAGACAAAGTTAATGGGACGGACGAAAAAGGTAAAACGGGACAAACTTAGAGGGACGGAGCGAGTAGTTGGTTATTTTAGTTTTCTTTTACTCAAATTGCTTGAATAATGAGTTGGATTGCTTTAAATCAAGTACTCTGTGTTAAGTAAGTTTTAGAATTTATTTATTACATTATTTAATGAGTATTCAATTGATTTAAGTATAAGTATTTGGATTGCGATTTTTTTTTAATTTTTTATGGAATATATTAATATGAGGCCTCGATTTTACATTTGAAATTGGGGCCTCCGAACACATTAGACGGCTCTGACATGAAGTAATTATTAGTATCCAATAGTATAATTTTTATGACCATATTTTGAAAAAAAAGGATGACACTTCATCCATGAGGACCCCCCAACCCCGACCGGACGGTACGTTAGGAGAATGTAAATTGGACCATAATCCCAATCCGACAGATAGAGAGTGGGGTTCTGTCCCCGGTATTTGCAGAGGCCCTATGCATTTTTAGCATAGTAACCCCTCATCGCAGTTGCCGAGATTCGAACCCGGGACCTAACCCTTGTGACACTCCCTTGCTACCAGTTGAGCTACGCCCACCGTTAAAACTAAGGTATGAGTAAACTTTGTATAGTGACTAGCTCCACCGCTTTCACGACCCCTTACCCCATAAACCCAACTTTGGTTTGGCCCTACAAGTAAGTATACACCGCTTGGCCCTACCACTTGAAGGTCTTTTTTTGGGGAGCATAGTACCACTGGTGCTAGTGGGACTCGAACACAAGACCTCACCTATGCAGGGGTAACCTCACAACCAACTGGGTTGGAAGTTCTGGTTAAAAACTAAAGTATGAGTAAACTTTTTATAGTAACTAGCTTCACCGCTTTCACGACCCCTTACCCCAAAAACTCAACTTTGCCTTGGCCCTACCACTTGAAGGGTTTTTTGGGGGAGCATATTATCACTGGTGCTAGTGAGACTCGAACACGAGACCTCTCCTATGCAGGAGTAACCTCACAACCGGCTAGACTGGAAGTTCTATTTTTTTTTTCAAAAGATGTCACATGGTGGGCATGTTTTGGAGAATATGACCATGTTTATGGTCTCAGGCAATGAATTTTTCCTACTTCTAATGGTTGGTGAAGTGGATTGGATATACGAGGTGGGTCTCCCAGAAGGCCAGAAGCGGAGGGTAGTTGGATCTTGTGGACATCGATTTTCTCTTTCTTTTCATTATATTCCGTTGTTTTGTGAATGTTAGTACGTACTCGGCCGCATATTATTATTACTCCATCCGTTTTGCAACCTTTTTTGTTTTTATTGTCCAAAAAATTTTATCATTTTCTTATTAAATTAACTTATTTGTGATTTTGCATATTTCTCTTTCCTCCGTACAAATCTTAACAACACAGTTTTTACTATTTTTATTTGTCGTTTACTTTGCACTTAACAAAGTCCACAAATTAGGTGACAATACTACCGATACTATTTATTTGTCACCACCTTTGCACTATTCTTAGGTGAAAATACTAAGGAGGTAGTACGGAGTAATAAATAAAAACGAAAGTAGTGATGCAGTTTGAGTGGATTGATGATGTCGTTTTGGAGTTGTCCACAACGGTTAAATTCAACGGAATTCATCCGTGTAGTATATTCCATAAGCTAGTAGGGGTCCTCAACTTCTGCTGTTCAATCATGCATCTACTGTATGTAATACATTGGGATTTTATGAATCCACGGCATCGCCATTTCGGCTTATGTGACAGGATCCTGACAAACTTTCGATCTCCTGGTTATTGAAGCAAACAAAATACGGAAATGTTGTTATAAGAGCTTGTGATCATTCATTCATTCAACCTCCCAAAGACAACAACTCCAACCGCTGCTGCTCGTAAATTCTGCCATCATCCTTCTTCATTACTCTCATTTTTGTTGCAAAATAGTTTGTTTTCCGTGTATGAACGAACAGAAAGTAAACTGAACAAAGAAACAATTAATGTTAATTTGTGTGACGCACAAAATCCTTAAAATCAATTCGTTGTCTATCACGGTGCTAGAAGCATTTCAACGTTAGTTTCGCATGATACGATGACAAACGAAAAATCCTATTGAGCACTCAACATGTTGCTCACCGGAACAAAAGCTAGAACAAGAAAGAGTTTTTCTCAAAGCTTGGAAGAGTGTGTTCATTGGAAGGTTCACTGTGGTAGGATCGTGTGTACCTCGCAATTTCTCAGTGTTCGTTTCAAAAATTTGTGAGGCATATATAGGAGAGGAGGAGACTCAGTATTAAACATATATTAAATTAAACATCACATTATCGTTAAATTTCAGAATGTTAACCGGCCATTAACCACGCATTAATGTTTTAGAACGCTAACCAACGTTCGAAACAATGGTCGTTCGGAGGAGAAAAAAACGTATTGCAGGTCAAGGTAAGACACAAATGGTGAAAAGGCGCATGAAATTTTCTGAGTGGAGCCTGGAAGGGTGGAAAGTTTTTAGGCAAACAACATGATGAGGTGCATCAAAGGGGCGATTCTTCGGCTATGAATAGATGTGGAAGCAACGATGGATGTTTTTTCGATTGAAAACGGAGAGAAGGGCAGCAACAAAAGGAGCTTGTAAGTCCAAAACACGGTGCAAGGCCAGCGGTTGTGCTGTTGATTGTAATGGTGGCTAGGTCAATTTCATTAGTGATCGAAGAAGTACTCATACAGAGAAGTAGGAATCCAACGACCATCGTTCACATAAGAGGTCGGGTGACAGTCTTGGAGGTTCGATGAAGGGAGATCGACGCATTGGTGAGGTGGCAACTGAGTTTCTATTTTGGCTTCTGTTGGAATTGAGGCCGTCCATTTAGGGGGTGTTTGGAACTGATTCTGCTTCTACTTCTTTTTTAAAGCAGAAGCAGAATCAGAATCAGTTTTCAGAAGCTGGTCACCCCCAGCTTCTAAAAAACTGATTCTAGGAGTAAATTAGAGCACCAGAATCACTTCTACATTTTCACCCAAACACTCCAACTTTTGCTTCTGCTTCTTGAAGGAGAAGAATCAGTTTTAAGAATCAGATCCAAACACACCCTTAATTAGGGAAGACTCAATTCGTGGAGGCAGAGGAAGGGGGAAGGCGAAGGTTTTGAGTTGGAACGTTTTATGTAAAAAAAGAGGGTTGATGCTCGTTCTAAACTTCTAATGTAGAGTCCTGCCAGGAAGTGTGAAGACTCTACCTTTGTTTTTGCATCGTTTTATATTTAATTTTTTCTTTATTTATCAATCATTAAATTTTGAGCCTTAAGATTTTGTGTTATGTTTATATATGTACCACATGTACTAGGTAATTATTGCTACATTGAAGAATGAAGATAACGTAAAAACGGTTCAATACGATTAAGAAATTTGACAATGAATATCGTAAAACACATATGGCGAACTTCATTGGAATATGGTGAAGTCGCATGAATGCACTATCGTTAACAGGTAAATTCGAAAGGTAATATGTAGATTAAAGGTTATTTCCAAGGTGCATTGAGGGTTAGTCAACCTACTAAGAAGGTCATGGAGCTATGTCTCATAAAGTTTGACTTCAGCACAAAATTACATTATCGAATGTTTCGGTACAATTTGAAATGAGAGTGAATGAAAACCCAAAAGAACTATTCTAACAGATACTACAGTAACTCCGTTTGTACCATTGATCGACATCATTTGTGGAGCAAGTCAACCACTTTGTTTTTTTTTTTTTTCATTCCACAAAAGCGAGAAAAAAGAAGCATATATCTTTGTACGCGTATGAAATATGTTTGACATTAGAGCGTGAGTGAATTACCATAAGCTCCATCCATCCAGTCTACAAAGGCTGACTAATTAAAGAAATGGGAGGAAAGAAATGAGCCGTGGGATGGTGTTGGAGTGAATCAACGGCGTAGGTTGACGCTCCACCAACCCCCTGAGCCGGAGGCCGGGCTGCCACGCCACCCCGTCTCTAACAGTCCACCCTCACCTACCAACACTTGTGTAGCAATTTGGACCGCAGCCCCTTCGGATTTCCCATCTATTTATACCTACCCGCCCTTCCCAATTCTCTCAGCATCAACCACCCGCCCTTCCCACACTCCCCTCATTTCCTCCTTAATTCCAAAACAACCAAACACTTTCCCCTCTTTCTTCATCTTTAATTCTCTGTTTTTCGAGTAATGGAGGGCGCATCGTTTGAAAATGGCCACAACATCGACGCCGGCCTCTGCATGAAAGCTGCTGCTGATCCGCTCAACTGGGCCGCGGCTGCCGAGTCGCTCATGGGCAGCCACTTGGAGGAAGTCAAGCGGATGGTGGCCGAGTACAGGAAGCCCGTGGTCGAGCTCCGAGGCAAGACGCTCTCCGTCGCTCAGGTCGCCTCCATCGCCGCCCATGACAATGCAGTCAAGGTCGAGCTCTCCGAGGCGGCCCGGGCCGGCGTCAAGGCCAGCAGCGATTGGGTCATGGACAGCATGAACAAGGGGACTGACAGCTACGGCGTCACCACCGGCTTCGGCGCCACCTCCCACCGGAGAACCAAGCAGGGCCATGCTCTCCAACAGGAGCTCATCAGGTATTTCATTTTTCTGCTCACTTATTTATTTATTTATTTATTATTACTGCTCTCTTCCAATTATTAAAATTTTCTCAGCAGTTATCGTATAGGGAGAAATTAGCTATACTTATTAATCAAACCTCATTCCATACATAAACGATAGAATAAGATCATACTCCGTAATAAATAAATAAATAAATAAATAAATAAATAAATAAATAAATAAATAAAAAGTTGGTTGATTGAAAAAATGTTGGTCCTTTCTCCCGATTCCAGGCCGGGGTTTTATGAATCTAAAAAATTCTAGATGAATAACATAAAAATTAAATTCATTATTTAGTTATTTGACTTATTATTGAAGCTCCACACCCATCAAATTTGATGTTGGAGTAATTAAGACGATGTTTAACTTTTCGAATTGAACTAAAAGCTTTTTTTCCATAGTCAATCAAGTCTCAATAAATAGACAATAAGTCAACTATATGGATAACTATATGGATATTCAGACTGCCTTGCACATACCCGGAATTTACGAGTAAATGAAGATTCAATAGTGATTTACTACGTATTGCTTTATTCGTATGTTGATTTAATTTTAACATATTTATCATGTTTTTTATTTGCCTAGTTTTGAAAAAATGACATGTTTTAAAGCCTATTAGTGACAAACTTTTAGTAAAAATTTACTCCTATTCAAAAAGTAAATAAAAAACATGATAGTAAAAACATGATAGTCAATTTCAAAACTTTTTTACTCCTATTTAGGGAATTCTCTCGATTTTTTTATGTTGCTTGTATGAGTATTTTAAATTAAATGTTTTGTCACCTCTCATATAACATTTTTATGTATGTAAATATATCTTGCTGACTGATCAAAGAACAACATTTTTGTCATAGAAGTATAGAATCACCCATGACCCATCTTTGTGGGACATATAGCATACATTTTTGATGTATTGATGAAGTCCCAATAAACGAGTAATAATTCAATACAGAAGGATGGAATTGGATGGTTCCTTTTATTTGTAGTACTAATTAATAAAAAGGCATGGAAAAGGAACATATATTAGGGAATGAATGGTTTGAGATGACATGGAAACTATTTTAAACTATTTTTAAGTTTACAGAAATGAAATATTATATAAAATATAAAAAATAGTGAACATAATCACAGTCACTAGAAATACTACGGAGTATTATAAACGCCCAGAATTCAAATACTACTAGTATTATATAGCGCGATATTTCAAAATACAAACAATATAAAAATATGTGATTTTAGTAATCATTTTCATATGTTCACCTAATCGAATACTAGCTAATAAATATGTATGGATTATTAAATTAAAAATTAGTTTTCAATAAAATCTCACAACCGAACAAATTGGGATAAAAGAATTCTGGGTTGCAGCGTGATTGGAAACGGCAGGAGAGTAGTTAATATGTTTCCTCCGTACATCTTTCAATGCTCTGATCATTATTTGTGAGAGTGAATTAAATTGGACACGTGATCCGACTGTGTATGCATTTCATCTGCCTGCCTGTCTGAATTAATTATGCGATTTCAATTTAGTTGTGAATTGGGTGGATGTGCAGGTTCTTGAATGCCGGAATCTTTGGGAATGGAACAGGGTCAGGCCACACCCTGCCCCACTCAGCCACCCGGGCAGCCATGCTCGTCAGAATCAACACCCTTCTCCAGGGCTACTCCGGCATCAGGTTTGAGATCCTGGAAACAATCACCAAACTCCTCAACCACAACGTCACTCCGTGCCTCCCCCTCCGCGGCACCATCACGGCCTCTGGCGATCTCGTCCCGTTGTCCTACATTGCCGGTTTGCTCACGGGCAGGCCCAACTCTAAAGCTGTGGGCCCCAACGGGGAGACCCTCACCGCAGAGGAGGCATTTCGCCTGGCCGGGATCTCCGGTGGGTTTTTCGAGCTGCAGCCCAAGGAAGGACTTGCGCTTGTGAATGGCACTGCAGTGGGTTCTGGCTTGGCATCTATGGTCCTCTTTGACGCCAATGTGCTCGCGGTTTTATCCGAGGTTCTGTCCGCGGTTTTCGCGGAGGTCATGAATGGGAAACCTGAGTTCACCGACCACCTGACCCACAAATTGAAGCATCACCCTGGCCAGATTGAGGCAGCGGCCATCATGGAGCACATTTTGGATGGGAGCTATTACATGAAAGCTGCTCAAAAGCTGCACGAGACCGACCCGTTGCAGAAACCGAAGCAAGACCGTTATGCTCTACGGACATCGCCTCAGTGGCTCGGCCCTCAGATTGAGGTCATACGGGCTGCAACCAAAATGATTGAGCGTGAGATCAACTCTGTCAATGACAACCCCTTAATCGATGTATCAAGAAACAAGGCATTGCACGGCGGGAACTTCCAAGGCACCCCGATCGGTGTGTCCATGGACAACACCCGGTTAGCACTAGCCTCCATTGGAAAGCTCTTGTTCGCCCAATTCTCTGAGCTCGTAAACGATTATTACAACAACGGTTTGCCATCCAACCTGACTGCGGGCCGGAATCCGAGTCTTGATTACGGCTTCAAGGGTGCTGAGATTGCAATGGCTTCCTACTGCTCGGAGCTCCAGTTCTTGGCTAACCCAGTCACTAACCACGTCCAGAGCGCTGAGCAGCACAACCAAGATGTCAACTCATTGGGTTTGATATCTGCGAGGAAGACCGCTGAGGCTGTGGATGTACTCAAACTCATGTCATCCACGTTCCTCGTGGCCATCTGCCAGGCTATTGATCTGAGGCACTTGGAGGAGAACTTGAAGAATGGGGTGAAGAACACAGTCAGCCAGGTGGCGAAGAGGACTCTCACAACGGGTGTCAACGGGGAGCTTCACCCGTCGAGGTTCTGCGAGAAGGACTTGCTCCGGGTGGTCGACCGTGAGTACGTCTTTGCGTATGCAGACGACGCGTGCAGTGCGAACTACCCGCTGATGCAGAAGCTGAGGCAAGTCCTGGTGGACCATGCGCTGGAGAACGGGGACAATGAGAAGAACTTGAGCACTTCAATATTCCATAAGATTGCTGCTTTTGAAGACGAGCTGAAGGTGGTTCTTCCCAAGGAAGTGGAGGCTGTGAGAGTGGCCCTTGAGAGTGGGAACCCAGCCATTCCAAACAGGATCAAGGAGTGCCGGTCTTATCCTCTCTACAAGTTCGTTCGTGAGGAGCTCGGAACGGAGGTGCTGACGGGGGAGAAGGTGAAATCGCCAGGGGAGGTGTGTGACATGGTGTTCACTGCAATGTGTGAGGGAGGGATCATTGATCCTTTGTTGGAATGCCTCAAGAGCTGGGACGGGGCTCCTCTTCCCATCTGTTAAAATCAATCAATTAATTATACTTTTGTTTGCAATTTTAAATTCTAATTTTTATTTGTTGGATGTTTGGAAAGCCATTCCTCTTGTGATCCTCAATATGCTATGTGGAAGCTAGCTACGCTAGTTAGAAGCCTTAAAGTTGGGATGGCTCTTGTTGTATCTACCACAGTTGCCTCTTCTTTTCTTTCATCAGTCCAACATAAATGCCAAGCAATGCTCATTTTAAGTTCTTTTTTATTATGATTATGATGATGATTTATGTCATGTCTACCCAATAATGCAAGTTGTTGCGCCAACGAACAAATAAATTAAGTGCGTGCACTACTTTTCCCTTATTGGGAAATTGAATAAAATCACATTCCATTCCATTGCAAATCATTTAAAATACAATGATTGAACATAAATACAAACTTCCTGATTCGAATACTCCCTAATGAATTGAATAGGTCCAATTAATTATTAGGATGTCTTACTAGGATTGAAATTTTCTAGTCTGGATAGGTCTGTCTGACCTCTGTGTATTTTATAATTAGTCAAGTTTGGTCTGGTCAAACTGGTCTAGTCTGACACTGAAAACAGCCCATGAGTAGGCCCACATATGCAATGTATAAATATACAATTCTCCCTGTTAGCTCAAGCCCATGAGTAGGCCCACATATGTTCATATATATATAGGGAGCGGTTCCGGTAAGAACAGACTTTCAGAAGAGAAATGAGAATGAATCTGGACCGTTGGATTGTATTATGTGGAACTGGATTGTGCATTTGGTGAAACTGAAATGTGCATCAGATAATATTGAAATGTGCAGAATAAAAATTTAAATTCAAGTGTGCATTAGGTAAAACTGAAATGTACGGAATAAAAGGTACAAAAATAACATCACATCGTACCTTTTATTCTGCACATTTCAGTTTCAACTAGTGCACATTTCAATGTCACATAATGCACAATTCAGCTTCATATAATGCCACTGTATCGTACCATTTGTGCTGCACATTTCAATTTCACCTAATGCACATTACAGTTTCATCTAATGCACATCAAAATTCACTTAAAGCAAATCTAACGATCCAGATTCATTCTCATTTTTATCCTAAGATCATGTTCTTATTTGAACCAAAACATATATATATTGTATAGACTCTCAAAAACCGTCCGCCTCATTAAAACTTCCGCTCCCGCCTAAGTCGGATCGCACAAGCCTTTCATCGATCATCTTTTCCCATCCGTTCTTTTCCCACGAAAATCAAAGCAACTCACACCACTGTTGCACGCAGTCCAGTGATCGTTCGAGGCATCTTCATTGTGAGAGGGATTCAATCATCGCTAGAGGGATTCAATCACTTGATCGTTCTCCTTCACTTCAATTATCACCTATATCCCCACTCGATCGTTCTCCTTCCCAGGGAGTTATCTATCTATTTTCGGCGCCAGAGGGATTTCGTCGCTAGAGGAAGTCGCAGGTATTCTTTGCAGATAATTTTAATTTATAGTGAATATAGACACAAATGTTGTCCAAATTACTATGAATGGTGAAGTGTTGTGCCTTGCAGATACTGTTACTACGCATACAATAATTAGAAATATCCACTATTTTTCTGAGTTGAAAATGCAAAAGGCAAATGTTAACACCATTATTGGTGCTAATAAATTAATAGATAGCTCCGGAAGAACCAATCTAGTTTTGCCCGAAGATACAAAATTCTGAATTGATGATGCATTATATTCCCCCAAATCTAAAAGGAATCTACTAAGTTTTAAGGATATCCGCTGAAATGGATATCATATTGAAACAACCAAAGTAGGAGATACTGAATATCTCTACATAACCGATAAAACTTTGGGTATTAAAAGGGTGTTGGAAAAATTACCCGCATTTTCATCTGGACTGTACTACACCAAAATTAGTACTCCCTCCTCCGTCTCTTAAAACTTTGCCATCTTTTCTTTTTGGGACGTCCCAAAAAACTTTGTCACTTTCCATTTTAATCAATTATTTGTGGTTTCTATTATTTCTCTCTCCTCTATACAAACCTCAACCACACAGTTTTTACTTTATTATTCTCCGTGCCGGTCAACTTTGGAAAAGTTTTAAGGGACGGAGGTAGTACAATTGAATCATATATGACCATAAGCCAGAAGTTTATGGATCATGATAAGTTTATTATTTGGCATGACCGGTTAGGCCATCCCAGATCAACAATGATGCGAAGAATTATTAATAACTCATGTGGACATCTACTCAAGAATCAGAAGATTCTTCAAACCAATGAGTTATCTTGTGTTGCTTGCTCTCAAGGAAAATTAATTACTAGAGCCTCACCGGCTAAAATTAGAACGGAATCACTTTCCTTTTTAGAACGTATTCAGGGTGATGTATGTGGACCAATTGACCCACCATGTGGATCATTTAGGTATTTCATGATTTTAATCGATGCATCGACTAGATGGTCACATGTATTCTTATTATCGACTCGCAACCTGACATTTGCGAGATTACTAGCTCAATTAATTAGATTAAGAGCACATTTTCCTGATTATCCAATTAAAACTATTCGCCTTGATAATGTCGGTGAGTTCACCTCCCAAGCTTTTAATATAATGATTATTGTATTTCCATCGGGATAAGAGTAGAACATCCTATAACACATGTTCATACTCAAAATGGTCTCGCGGAGTCACTGATTAAACGACTCCAGCTTATTGCAAGACCACTTATGAGATGTAAACTCCCTATTTCAGCTTGGGGGCATGCAATTTTACATGCAGCAACACTAATTCACATCAGGCCAACAAGTTATTGTGAATCATCTCCCCTACAATTGGTTTTGGGTAATGAACCAAATATTTCTCATCTAAGAACATTTGGATGTGCCGTATATGTACCTATTGCTCCACCACAACGTACTAAGATGGGAACCCAAAGAAAGTTGGGAATATATGTTGTCTATGAATCTCCTTGCATAATAAGATATTTAGAGCCATCAACGGGGGATTTATTTACAGTTAGATTTGTTGATTGTCATTTTAATGAATCAAATTTCCCAACATTAGAGGGAGAAAGAAAGCAGCTGAAGAAAGAATTATGTTGGACTGTACCATCATTATCACATCTTGATCTTCGTACTAAAGAATGGGAAATTGAAGTTCAAAAGATAATACATTTACAAGGTTTAACGAATCAATTGCCAGACGCTTTTACTAATACTAAAGGAGTGACAAAGTCACTAGTACCAGCTGCCAATGCTCCCATTAGACTAAATGTCCCAGAGATACATGTCGTTGCAAATGAATCAAAAACACGCGTGAAGCGTGGAAGACCAATCGGTTCCAAAGACAAAAATCCTCGAAAAAGAAAGGGAGCAAAGAATGAAAATGGCCAAGAAGAGGTTAAAATAAACTTAAGAGTAGATTCTCCGGAAGAGAACATTGACATGACTATAAATCTAGAAAAAGATCAGGTACCTGAAAATGAAGAGATCTCAATAAATTATGTCGCGTCAGGAATTGTTTGGAACCGACATGAAATTGACGTCGATGATGATGAAGAAAATGATATTTTTGCATACCATATAGTGCTAGATATGATGAATGAAAATGAGGATCAAGAACCAAGAACAATGCAAGAATGTAGACGCAAAGATGATTGGCCAAAATGGAAAGATGCAATTGAGGCTGAATTCCAATCGCTAGAAAAGCGAGAAGTTTTTGGACCCGTGGTTAAAACAAAAGAAGATGTTAAACCAGTGGGTTATAAATGGGTCTTTGTGCGTAAAAGAAATGAAAAGGGTGAAATTATCAGATATAAAGCCCGTTTAGTTGCACAAGGATTTTCACAGAGACCCCACATTGATTATGATCAGACATATTCTCTTGTGGTAGATGCTACTACTTTTAGATACTTAATTAGTCTGGCAATACGTGAAGGACTAGATTTACGCCTCATGGATGTAGTGACGGCCTATTTATATGGCTCGCTTGATATTGATATATATGTGAAACTTTCGGAAGGTTTTAAGCTGCATAAAGCATGCAATAGAGGTTCTCGAGAACAATATTCTATTAAACTAAACAGATCTATATATGGTTTTAAACAATCAGGGTGTATGTAGTACAATCGTCTAAGTGAGTACTTATTAAAAGAAGGGAACAAAAATGATGATATATGCCCATGTATTTTTATTAAGAGATCTGGTCAGGAGTTTGTAATTATTGCAGCTTATGTTGATGATCTAAACATTATTGGAACTCATGAACAACTACAAAAGGCAGATGAATGTTTGAAAAGGGAATTTGAAATGAAGGATCTTGGAAAGACCAAATACTGCCTGGGATTACTAATTGATCATTTAAATAATGGTATCTTTGTGCATCAAACAACCTATATAGAGAAGTTTCTAAAAAGATTTTTAATGGATAAGGCACATCCTTTAAGCACCCCGATGGTTGCAAGACAACTTGAAGTTGATAAGGACCCATTTAGACCGCATGGAGATACTGGGGATATTCTTGGTCCAGAAGTACCATACCTAAGTGCAATTGGAGCACTAATGTATCTTGTAAGTCACACCAGACCCGATACATCCTTTGCTGTAAATTTATTGGCAAGATATAGTTCTTCTCCAACGCGAAGACATTGGTATGGGGTCAAACAAATACTTCATTACCTTCAAGGTACGAAAGACATGGGTCTATTATTTTCTAACATGTCCAAAATAGAATTGATTGGTTTTGCAGATACATGTATATGTTTGATCCTCATAAAGGGAGATGACAGACTGGATATGTGTTTACATGTGGAGGAACAAACATGTAGAGCTATTGGCCATTCATGAAGCGAGTCGAGAATTCGTATACTTAAGAAATGTAATTCGGCATATTAGACAGTCATGTGGATTATGGTTTGAAAAGGAGCCTCCAACCATCTTGTTTGAAGACAATGCAGCTTGTATCCACCAATTTAAGGAAGGATTCATCAAGGGAGATAGGATGAAACATATTTCACCAAAATTTTGGTATACACATGACATTCAGAAAGAAGGTGAGATTATCGTTCAACAAATTCGTTCAAGTGACAACGTTGCGGATTTATTCACCAAGGCTCTTCCAACAACAAGCTTCAAGAAGTTAGTGCACCTGATTGGATTACGTCGATGCAAGGATCTTGAGTGATATATATTCATTAGGGGGAGTAAATACGTGCTGCACTCTTTTTTCCTTACCAAGGTTTTGTCCCCCAGGGATTTACTTGGAAAGGTTTTTAATGAGGCAACATCCTTAAGCGTATTTTTTTATGTACTCCTTATATTCGTTAGTAGTGTATATTTAAGGGGGAGTGTTATGTAATGTATAAATATACACTACT